GCTGAACCCCCGAACCCCTTTCGTCCCCTGAGCCGGCGCCGCATGCGTTATGGACAGGGCTGGGGAAGGATCTGTGAGTTCCGGGCCCTCTGCGAAGCAGCTGCCAGGAGAGGGTTGAGAACGCAGCTGCAGGCAGCCCTTACCCACCCCACCCCCCACTCTCGCCCTGACTGCTTTGGAGTGCTGGTGGCCGAACGCGTGGGGGTTGCCAAGGATGGAGCCTTAGGGCGGGCTTGAGACCCTGGTGCAGGCAGACACAGCTGGAGTCGCCGGAGCTGTGTAATCTGGGAGGGCTCCCTGGTGGAGGGGAGTAGGAGCTGGCTGGCTTTGGGAAGGGCAGGAAGGGAAGCAGGTGGATGATGTTGGGGTGAAGAGAGTGTGGTCTGGCCTAGTGGCCCCGGAAATAGATAATGACAAGCGAATCTGCAGAGCAATTTGGGGTAGTTAAGCTCTGGGAGACTTGGAGGTTGGAGCTACCAGGGATGGAAGCAGGGGAGGGGGTGTGGAGGAGAGCAGGGTGAGGGAGAAGACTGGTCTGGGTGGTCCCCCACCCCCACCCTCCCATCCCACCCTATCTCCCCTCCAACTGGAGGGCTTGATCAGCCTGGCCTTACCAACAGAGCCATCAGCACACGGTGATCTGGCTTGGTCTTCCATCTCTCTGAAGCCTCTGGTCGCCTCAGTCCAGAATGGAGCAGGGCCTGCGTGCCTGTGAGTGTTGATGCTGTGAAGCAACGGTTCACGGCTGCATCTCTTAGCTCCCAGCTGCATTGTAAATGCAGAAACTGTTGTTCCTTGGCTGATTACTGCCGTTCCAGAGTGACCTCATTAAAGGGAACGTCCCACCATCCTGTATACCGCACACTGGGCATTGTGCTAGGTCTTACATCCTGGTCTCACTGAAGCCACACAACAATCCTGTGTGGAGACTAGCTCCATCCCTGTTTACAGCTGGGGAAGCCACGGCTTAGGGGAGGCTCAGTAAATTGCCTAGTGCTGTGAAAATCCGTGTCTCCCCAGCTGCTCAGGTCTGTGGCACAGCTGTGATTCGGAGCCAGGTTCCTCTTACATCAAACTAAAGCTCTCGCTCCCTGCTCTCTGACCAGCCTTCAGGGCTCCTTTCCAAACGAATGGTCCTGGGAATGCTGGTGCCTTCCCCACCCCCATCTCCCTGCTCTGGGCCTTCACAGCTGGAATCCCTGGGTTCCTTGTCTTCCCATCCCTACTCCTTGCCTGTGCCCTCACCTTCCAAGCTCGGAGGGCAGAGGCTAGGAGTAATTTGGGTGCGCATGAAGCCTTCGTGGCATAGTGGTTACGAATTGGACTCCTAACTGCCAGGTCAGCCGTTTGAAACCTCAGGGAGAAAGAAACACACGGGGCAGCCCTACACTGTCCTATAAGGTTGCTATGGGTCGGAATAAACTGGATGGCAGTGAATTTGGCTTGGGTGTGGTTGGTGGGGTCTGTGCAGCATGGGTAAACTCTGAACGTGGCGGACTCCATCACCACTGTTGCCTTGCCAACAAGAGGATCCTCCCTCCTCGTCTGAGTACATAGGGAAGCCCAGGATGGTCTGTATTATCCATCTGTGTACATCTCTCCTAGGCGGTGGTTCGTTCGCAGCCCTGACTGCAGCTTGAAATCATTAAGGATTTTTTTTGTTTTTTTTAAATGGACACTTCTCACTACTAGAAATTCTTAATCTGCCAGTCTGAGGTGGGTCCTGGTAAATTTTGGCTCAGATGATTTAACTTTTTGAAAAGGTTTTTAAAAAAAAATTTTTTTTAACCTCTAATTCTTTCCTGACCAAATTTTAAAATGCTAATTAGATTTAGGTGAGATGATAATTTTCAGTACTGGAATGCACAACAAATCATTAAGCCCTGGTGAACCTTTAAGATATGGTGACTTTTGGGTAGATGGTTTGTGGGACATTTATGTCCCCTTGGACCCTAGATGATGGGTCAGGAGGAACAGCATTTGTTTTAAGCAGATTGATTTTATTGTGGGAAACACATCATTGTTGCTCGAGTCCCTTTAGTGCTGCAATCTCTGCATCACACAAGGAAATGCGTTCCAGCTTGTTGGAACTCTCGTTTGGCATCCTGCTTACTCTTGGCTTATTCATCACAAGGAGGGAAGGTCTTGTGAGTCTTTTGATTTCCAGGCCCACGGTGATAAAGGGAAACTGGTCTCATCTTGCCTCCTGCCGCCATCCTGCTGTAATCAGGAAGTTGCATCACAAGCCTTGGAAATCCTGGGGGAGGGGAGTTTGCATGTATAGATATGGGATTGTACCTGAAATAAGTTATCCACTTGAAAACTGTATCATCATCGAAACCATAACTTCCAAATGATACACAGGAAGCTCTACGCACACTTATTAAGGCTCACTTCCCTATACAAAAGACAAAAGAGACAAACGTTTTACCCATTCACACATCTGGGATGCACCCTCTCATTCATTACCCTCTAAACCCCCTGATTTGGTGCCACTGAGCCTTCCTCTGGTTATAAATGGTTGCACCTGCTCCCGTCACATGCCAGCACATGGAACTTCCCAAGACACAAACAAGTGCATGACTCTTTGCCCATCACAGGTTACAGTCTCCAATGAGACAGTGGTACCAAAGGGCACATGTATGTTTGTATACAAAATACTAGCCATGTGACTGGGAACCAGGAATGGGAAGCAGATTTATTTATAATTTACCCACCCCCACCCCCATGACTCTATCACTGGGGATTATAACCATTCATCGACCTGGTTGCGTAATGAGTAAGCACTCCACGGCTAACCAAAAGGTTGGTTGGGACCCACCGCCTCCTTGGGAGCCCTGTGGGGTAGTTCTACTCTGTTCCGCGAGGTCTCTCTGCCTTGGGATGGGCTCAGGGACAGCAGGTTTTATATGGAGAGAGAGACAGAGAGGTTGGCTTTTCAAGTTTACCAAGGGGTGCCTCGGAAGAAAGATCTGGTGATCTGCTTGCGGACACACGCAGCCGTTGAAAACCCTGTAGACCAGAGTTCAGTTCTAACACACAAGGGGCTGCTGGGGGCCAGAAATGACTTGATGGCAATGGGTTACTGATTCTGTGTGTGCGGGTATGTGCACGCCCGTGCGCGCACACACGTGCATAAATAAGAATATTTTGCTCAGATATTAGCATGCTGCTAATCCTATTACCAGGAGGCAGCTCGAGATTACTAGCCCCTTTGGTTCTTGTCTCGCTTGCCAGAAAGATTTCAGGCAAGAGACACACTCAGACCAGAGTCAGAGAAAAGGGATGAACAGAAAGAGCGAGTTTATTAAAGGGGATACTTAGAGAAGAACTCCAAAGCGCCCTTATCTAGTCTCAAAGGCCCTCGTAGAATGTAGAGGCCGACCTTTTATTCTGCTAATAGCCACCACGGATTGGCTCTCTGTCGTGCGCCTCCTCTTTCCAGGTATAGGTGTCCTGTACCCCAGCACCCCAGAGTTCTTGCTGTGTCATCCTTAGGGTAGTGTGAACATCCTGTTTCTGTGTCACACACCCCCTTCACCTTTTCATTATCTCAAGTCTCCTCCATTGATAAGGAAAGGATGTGTCGTCTCTGCCTTCATCTTCCTTTGTGCTGAACAGGTATGTGGGGAAATGGGTCTCCACCTCTGTCTAGCTAGCAACACAATTCTTTCTTTTCACACTTCATATTTTGGAGATTACAAAAATTTGTGTAGCTCCCTCTGATGTCGATGTGACATATTATGGTCCTACACACATAAAAAGACACAAATCATGTTCATTTCCTAAGACTGCCCTAACAGAATATCACCAACCAGGTAGTCTGAAACAACAGCAGTATGTGATGGTGAGTTGATTCTGACTTACAGTGATCCTAAATGACGGGAGAGCTGCCTGGTAGGGTTCCCAGGTTGGGATCTTCCCGGGAGCAGATCGCTGGGTCGTTTCTCCTGCAGAGCAGCTTGTGGTTTCGAACTGCTGACCTCTCGGTGGGTAAACCCTTGCTCACGGTGCCACCTGGCCTCTCATTTTGGAGGCTAGAAGTCTGAAAGTGAGCTCTGGGCAGGGCTGCCCTCCAGATCTAGGGAAGACTGTGTCCTTGCCTCTTCTAGCTACTGATGGTTGCTGGCAATCCTTGGCGTTCCTTGATTTTCAGATGTCTCCCTCCAGTCTCTGCCTCTGTCTTCACTGTCTTCCGCTGTCTTCATCTCTTCTCCTCGTTTGAGGACACCTGTCACATTGGACTTAGAGCCTACCCTATTCTAGGACCTCTTCTTAACAAATTACATCTACAAAGAGCCTATTTCCAAATCAGATCACAGTCATAAGTATTGGGGAGCCGGAACTTGCAGATAACATGTTGAGGCTTTCTGAGAGCACATCTGTATTGCTAATTCATAAACAACCATATTGTTAGTTCAGAACAGTGTGGATGTGCTGTAGCTAACTTAACCAATATGCTTGTGCAGGGCTTTGAATCTCAGTATTACAAATAATGATACCAAAAAAGTGATACAATGAATATCTCTGAACATAGGGCTTTGCCCACATGTGCAAGTAGCACAGTTTTGCAAATAACACACACACACACACACACACACACACACACACACACGCCTGTAATGTATATAGGAACCAACATGGGGTGTGGGGTGTTGCATGGTTTGTTTGATATTTGCATGAAAATGTGGTCTACCTGTAGGAGGAGAAATCCCTAGCACTTGAATAGCTAGATCAAAAGGTGTGCAAATTTGCAGCTTTTGTAGATTTTTTTCCTTCCCTCCAAATCATGCTGAACAGAGCCTAGAAAAATCTGTATTCCCACCGTCAACTGCATGAGAACATGTGTTTTTACCAAGTTTCCCTGATTGTTCTTGGGCAGCTGGGGTTGAGACCCACCCACCTTTTGCTCTTGATGCCCTAAGACACGAGTTCTGTTGTTTCTCCTGGTGCCTAGCCTGTCCCCTGACTGACTGACACTTCCCTCCCATCCGGGTCAGGACACGGAGTTGCAGAGGAAGCTGGACCATGAGATCCGGATGAGGGAAGGAGCCTGCAAGCTGCTGGCGGCCTGTTCCCAGCGAGAGCAGGCACTGGAGGCCACCAAGAGCCTGCTGGTCTGTAACAGCCGCATCCTCAGCTACATGGGCGAGCTGCAGCGGCGCAAGGAGGCGCAAGTGCTGGAGAAGGCAGCCCGCCGGTGAGCAGGGGAGGGAGGGTCCACGGGTGTGGGGCCAGTGAGCATGGAGGTGTATTGTGTGTGCATGGAGTGTGGATCCCCCTGAAGATATTCCCGCAGCCCCCGAGGTCAGGAAAGCCATGCATCTGGTGAAAGGCTGGCAGTCTCAGGAGTAGGGATGCCAAGCAGAAATCCACTGAGCCCTGCCTATGACCTGATCCGTCTGACTGGCTAGTTGATGGTCAGCTACTTTTCTCAAAGCCAGTTCAAGTGACCGGTTTGCGGAATGGCCGCTTGACCACAGACTGCCCAAAGCTCCTCATATTTGGCGTTCACCCTCAGAGGCTGACACGGGGAGGCGGCCAGGACTACAGAGCTCACCTTACAGTCACCGAGGGGGGCACTGCACTGTGAAGGACCAGCGTATCTGGCTAGGGTGGTGGTGGGGAGGGAGAACTCAAAGCCTGGGGGGTAGGTAGGTGGGAGGGTGAAAGGGTTTGTAGGGAATGAACAGAAAAGTTCCCCCACCCCCTTATCATCCAACACTGGTCAATTTATGTTCCGAAGAGACCAGAGGGTGGAAATGAGAGGCCTCCCCTATTGTCAAAAATACAGGCAAAGCCTTGTGAGGGCAGGGTTTTCCTGGAGAACAGTCCTTGAAAAGGAAGCACCTGTCCCCTCAAAGTCCCACGTGTCCCTGGCTGGGCGCTGGGGAGGTCATGGGAAGGGAGCTCACATGGCTTGGGGAGCCTCCACACGGCCCCCAGGCCTGCAGCCAGGTGGATGGTAAGGCCCTTGGAGACTGAGGACAACATTGTGGTTGACCCACAGGCCTTCGGACAGCCGGCCGCCTGCAGACCGCTCCCCTTGCCGAGGGCGGGTCTGCATCTCTGGTAAGGAGAAAGACTGCTCCCCCTGCTGGCATGCCCTTGCCCAACCCCGTGCCCTCCCACTTGGTCTCAACCCACCTGTTCCTACCTCTCCTCTGCCTCCTAGACCTCCGGATTCCACTCATGTGGAAGGACACGGAGTATTTCAAGAACAAAGGCGGTGAGTTCCCAACACCCTAAGTGAGTTTCAGGCTTGTCCCTGGGGGTGGAGGCCCTGGGGAGGCATGTTTTTTTACCGGCTCTGCCCGCCTTGGCCCAGACCTGCACCGCTGGGCCGTGTTCCTGCTGCTGCAGCTCGGGGAACACATTGAGGACACGGAGATGATCCTGGTGGACAGGACGCTCACGGACATCTCCTTTCAGAACAGCGTGCTCTTGTGAGTGCCGCTCCCCTGCGGGGCCCTCCTTTCCCACCTCTGCCCAGTTCTTGGATGAGGTGGGGGGGCGGAGAGGGAGCCCGGGACGTCCCTGTGGAACTTGCCTGTGCTTGCCCCGAGTCTTCCAGGCTTCCCTGCAACCGCCCATCTCCCATTCTCCAACCCCCACAGCACTGAAGCGGGGCCAGACTTTGAACTGAGGCTGGAGCTATATGGGGCCTGCATGGAAGAAGAGGGGGCCCTAACGGGTGCCCCTAAGAGGCTGGCCACCAAACTTAGCAGCTCCCTGGGGCGTTCCTCGGGAAGGCGTGTCCGGGCATCGCTGGACAGTGCTGGAGGCTCAGGGAGCTGTCCTATCCTGCTGCCTACCCAGGCTGTTGGGTAAGGTCCCGCATCTTGCATCTCCTTCGCTTGGCTGGCTGTACCCTGGCCACAGGTGACCGATGCCAAGCACGTGGAGCCCGTTTTGTCCTGCCCCCAGGCACGTAGACAGAGGTGAATGAGCAGCGGCCACACTGCTGTGCGGCATCTGGCTGCAGGTCCTAACCGGTGGAGAAGATGAGTGGGGAGGTTTTAGGATCTAAACATTTCCCTGGATAGATCAAAGCTCCTGGTTGGAGCAGGGTAGTCGATAGCCCCCTGAATGGAGCCCTGATGGCTGGATGGTTAAGCATTGTGCTGCTAGTGGTAAGGTCAGCAGTTCAAAACCACCAGACCTTCTGTGGGAGAAAGATGAGGCTTTCTGCTCCAGGGAAGAGTTATAGTCTCCCAAACCTGCAGGGGTAGTTCCATCCTGTCCCGTAGGGTCGCCGCTGTGTTGGAACTGTCTTGAGGGCGGTGAGTTTTGGTTTCGGTGTTGAGGGTCATGAACAGGATACGTGCTTTAGAGACAGGTGGATGCACATTCCAGCTCCACTCTTTCCTTGCTATAATTGACGGGATGAGTTTTGTCCCCTCGCTAAGGCTTGAGTTATTCATTTATTAACTGGAGAGTGCCAACAACTTCACGGTGTGTGTGTGTGTGTGTGTGTGTGTGTGTGTGTGACACATGCAAAACCAAGGCCTAGCACCTGCGTGGGCTCAAGAAATGCTTGTCCCTCGCCCCAGGGAGGTGAGGCGAGTGAGGGGTGTTTTTGGTGGCTCAGCTTGACCACCGGGATAGGTCTGCTCTGCTGGGTGACTCGCTTACGGAAGCCCCCTCCTCTGCCCCTCCTGCAGTGGTCCTCGCTTCCACCTCTTGGCCCACACGACACTCACCTTGGCAGCAGTGCGGGATGGGTTCCGCACACATGACCTCACCCTCTCTAGTCACGGTGAGCATGGGGGGGGGGCACTGCACGGTGGGCAGGGGGCCCTTTGGATGGTGCCCCTTGAACTCCTCACCTTCTCCCCCTCCCCCAGAGGACAGCCCTGCCTGGCTGCCACTGTATGGCAGCGTGTGTTGCCGCCTGGCCGCCCAGCCTCTCTGTATGACGCAGCCCACTGCCAGTGGTACCCTCAGGGTCCAGGTGAGGGGGCCCCCTCAGTGGAGGGGAGACAAAGGAGAGCAGGTGGGTCACTTTAAGGAAGACTTCTGCCAAAACCAACATGGGGGTCGGCGGGCAAGGGGTGAGGACAGAGGCTGGAGGGTGGGGAGAAAGAGGGTGTTGCTGATGCGGGCGAGAGAAGAAGAGCATTGGAGGGGGCGAGTCCCCTGGAAGACCCAAGTTCCTTCTGCAGCAAGCCGGGGAGCTGCAGAGCTGGGCCCGCGTGCACGGAGTCTTGAAAGGCACACGCCTCTTCTGCTATGGGCGCGCGGAGGATGCCGAGGCCGGGGAAGAGCCGCTGTTAACAATCGTGATCAACAAGGTGACGGGCGCCCTGGTGGTGAGGCAGCAAGGTGTCTGGGCCCAGGACCTCTCCTTGAGGCCCTAGGAGACGAGGGTGGGTGCAGACCTCAGAGGGTGAAGCTGGCTTCCCTTCCTAACCTTACTTAAGGCCAGGAAGGCTAAAGGCACCCTGCTCTCTGACCCTCCCTCCACTTCTCACCCCCCAGTATCACTGGGAAAGGACTGACCCATCCACTCAGCAGCCGCACAAAGCCCCTGCCAAGTCTCAGAGAGGGTGCTACCGCTGCTTTAAGCTGGGCCACCCTCCTCTCTGTCCCCTCAGATGCACATTTGCATCTACTTCCCCAGTCCCTGTTTTCCTCCAGACCTGGGTCAGGACCAGCCCTCTCTGCTCCCCTTGCATGTGTGCTTATGGAAGCACTGGAGGGGACTCGGCCTCCGGCATTCTTGCCTTGCCCCATGTCTTATTTTCCTCCGTCCTCTGTTTGTTGACCCCGGACCGGCTCTCCCATTGCCAGCCCAGCCCTTTCCTGCCATTCCTTTCTGATCTCATCGATAGGGGGCAAAAGTGGGAGCCTAGCTAAGGACCTCACCTGCCCCTCCTTCTAAGGCAGGGATGATCCGGCCTGCCAGGATGTCCATGGTGTGGCTGGAAGGGGAACTTTTCGTGTTGCTCCTGCAGGAGACGCAAGTCCGGGCAGGGGAGCTGAGCCAGACCCCGGGTCGACCCTCCACCCTGACCATCAGTAACCAGTATGGGGATGACGAGGTGACTCACACGCTGCAGACAGAGGGCCAGGGAGCCCTGCAGAGCTGGATGGAGGCTCTGTGGCAGCTCTTCTTTGACATGAGTAAGAGAAGAAAGGGCTGGTCCTGGGGCTAGGGTTGGGGGGATCTGGGGGGAGCGTTCTAGGACCTAGGTTTGTTCACGGACCAAAGGCTTCTATTGTTAGAATGTGCGGGAATGGGTTTAGTTGAAGAGAGAGAGGGATTTCTGACAGTCCCCTCCCGGCGCCCCTTCTCCCAGGCCAGTGGAAGCAGTGTTGTGATGAGATCATGAAAATTGAAACCCCTGCTCCTCGGAAGCCAGCCCAAGCGCTGGCCAAGCAGGGGTCCCTGTACCACGAGATGGGTGAGTGGGAAGCCGGGAAACGGAGAGACCTGGGAAGCAGTGGGGCTGGGAACCTTGAGTGGGGGGTGGGGGCTCTTGGGATCCCAGAAGCAGGGATGGAGAAACCACTCTTGGGGCTGGGGTAGAGCTCGGGGGACCCCAGGCCCGTTCAGTGTCCAGTTGTGCTCCTTTCTCCGCTCCAGCTCTTCTGAGCACCACCTCCACCCCAGTTCCAATCAGACTCCCAGGGAGCTGACTCATCTCAGGGGTCTCTTTCCTAACCTCATCTTTTCTCTTTCCCTTTCTGCATTCGGATTCCTGTCTCTTCCTCTCTCCCCTCACTCGCCCGCCGCCCCCTTTCATTTTTCTCCTCTTTCTTGGTTTCTTTGCCCACTTCTGCACAAACCCCCACCCCTGTCCACCCTGTGCCCCGTGCACCACAGTCTTGTCAGAGCCTGTGGCTGTAGGTGGCCCAGGGGAGGGGCTGCTCCTGCAGGACAGTGCTCTCTCGGCGGAGATCCGGGCTTTGCTTTCCTCCTATTACAGTGAGGGGTGACTGAGGGGCAGGGCTGGGGAGGCCTGAGGCCTGCGCTCTGACCAGCCCCCTCCCTCGACCCCCACCCCCTTCCTGGTGCCACAGCTATTGAGCCGCTGGATGACATCGCAGCGGTGACAGACATCCTGGCCCAGCGGGAGGGCCCACGGCTGGAGATGTCCCCACCCTGGCTAGCAGTGTTTGCAGACCAGCCTGCCCTGCCTGGCCCCTGCTCCCCTGCCTCAGTGACCCCAGCCCGGACCCACCCCCTGCCCTGGGGGCGACCCCGAACCTACTCCCTGGACGCTGCCCCCCCAGACCGCTCCCCGGGGGCTCCCCGCTACGTCGCCCCCCTCCCCCCACAGCGATCTGCGCAGCCCAGAGGCCTCTGCAGCAAAAGTGCTCCCGGGACGTGGCTCCAGTCACCCGTGTGACAGAGAAAGGTGCTGCCCACAGGGTGCAGCTGGAAGAGGACATGGTCGACAGGCAGCTGGGCCCTGGATACCACACCCGGTGCTGCTGCCTGCAGCAGGGTGACTGTCTGGCCTCTCCCTCCTCTGTTGGATTGGGGGCAGGCGGGGGAAGGGGGAGCCAGATCACCCTCTCAAGCTGTGGTTGCCATGGTGCCAGGGACTCATTCTCAGGGCTGGCTGGGACCCCTAAACCCTTCCTGGGAGACAACTGGAACCACCATCCCCTGCCTCCCTCCCTGCACTAACCAGCTTTGAGGGCAGCACTGAAGAACCCTGGTGGGGGGGAGCGCCCCTCCCCGGTGACTCCCACCTCCGCCACCATTAAATGTTTCTCTAACAGCTGCTGGCTCCTGCTTCCTGTCCTGGGGATGGGGCAGCCTCCAGCTTGGCCTGGACCTGCCCTCGTCCACCCCACTCCCACCCCACCCCAGCTCCATTCCCTCGTGGTGCTGTGTGTGACCGCGGTACTGAGTCATCAGACAAGGCTGGGTGCAGGGGTTCTTTATAAATACCACAGGGAGAGGGTGGCTGCTCTATTCTCACACACTCCTGAATCTCAGGATCTCAGCGAGGTCATAGCCAGTCACAGCAAAGGAGCTGCCTGCGGGGTCACAGAATCGGGCACCACACACCTGCGTGTCGGGGACACACTCACCATGACAGTGTTCCACCTGAGGAGAGGGGGCCGGTTAGGGCTCTGGGGCGCTCACCATAGCCCCCTACCCCAGCCCTCCCAGGACACACCTCAATGCCGCCACTCTCTGTGTTTCTGCTCAGCTTCCAGAGGTGCACGAAGGTGTCCTCGGCTGCTGACAGCAGCTGTGACCAAACCACACCAAATGGGGCAGGGAGGGAAAGAGGTGGGGTGTACTGATGGTGAGGGGGGGGGGCTGGTCCATCCAAGCACCCCACCCCTCCTCCTGGGAGAGGACGGATGACCCTGAGCATCAGAAGCCACGCTATTGTGGGTGTTGCTCTTAACACCCAGCACCAAGGGGAAAAAAAGCGACTGACCTTGCCCACCTCGGGAGCGAGGTCCAGGGCAGAGATGGCTCGGGCATGGGCACTGATCTGGACCTGTAGAGAGCCTGTGCTGGCCTCATACAGGTGCACTTTCCCGTTCCCATAGCCAGCTGCCACAATCCCTTGCCACAGCCGCACAGAGGGACATGGGACCCTGTAGAGGTGAAACCAACTTTGATCTCCCCCGCTCCTGTCCCAGAGCTACTTTGGAAAGGTCTCCTCCCATTCCCCCTCACCTACCCAAATCCTGGAATGCTGGTCAGCAATTTGAATTCGGGGCCAGACCTCCAGATACACAGCAAGCCTGAGTCATCTGCTGTCACCATGTCAGCCACACAGTCCTGAGGATAAAGGCAGGATCAAGCCCTTTCCTCTTCCCCATCTCCCCTGCTGTGGTCCTGTGTGCAGGGCAGGAGGGAATGGGAAGCGGTGTTGAGCTCTTTGCTTCTCCAAGGTTAAGGGCAAGGTGTGCAGCCCTCACTGGCTGGGCAGAAACGCCAGGAGTTCTCTTGAGAAACATAATGCTTTCCTTGCGTTTCCTGTAGAGTCCCTTGACCTTTCCCCTCCCAGCTCCTCTACCATACGTTGGCGCTGGGGGTGCCTGGCTGTCTTCACTGGATGGATGATAAAACCCAGGCCACGCAGTTGTGAACTTCTGGAGGGTTCCCAGCCCTGACTAGACTCCAGGCCCCCAAACCTGACGCCAGCCTGTCCCACAGACTTGCTCTGTGCCAGGTACAACGGGAAATACAATCGGAAGGCACACACTTTATTCTCCAGAGATTTGCCATCTAATTAAGGAGACAGTAGTTGTCTTTGAGGGCAATGCCAATTCAAGGTTCAGAGTCAGCAATGGGAGCTGGAAGAGGGGGGCGTCTTCCTGGGGGGTGTGGTAGTAGAGCTAGATTGGGTAGGACTTGTCCAGAGAAGGAAATGGCATACCCAGAGCTAGACAGCATTTTAAGACTGTGTCCATCCACACCAGTGCTTTAGAAGTCTCTGAACCATAAACACACCGTATTCATCACTAGACTTGGAGTTGCTGAAGCTTAGGAAAGTGCAGCAAGGCGCCCAGTGTCAGCCAGTTGCTTCGTGGCAGTGCCAAGCCTGGAACTCATGTCTCCTGCCTCCCATAATACTGCTCCCAGGCATGAGAAGGGGAGATCCACTCACCTGTGCCTGGGTAGGCTCGGTGGCGATGTCTGTGATTGGTGCCTGGTGCCCAGTCAGCTCCTCACACAGCACGATGTTGGGACCCTTGACCGGGATGTCAAACACCAGCACACGGCCCGACCAGGTTCCTGAAGCCAGAACCAGTGCCCCATCGATGGGTTCCTCATCCTGCCAGGTCTCCATGCCACCCACCCAGGACTCCCTCCATCCCAGGGGCCCCAGGGAGCCTGCCTCCCCACTCTGGCTTCATCCTATCCCGCCCTGCCCCTTGGAACTTTCCATGGCTTTTGCCTCGCCCATCTTCCCCTCAATCTCTCTGTACTTGCCTCCGATACTCAGCATCCTCCTTTCCTTCGGCCCACACCCATGGACCCCAGTGCCCCCGCCCCACCACCCGTGCTCTAGACCCGCTCACCCACGCAGATGAATTGGCCACTGGCAGCAATTCCTCGGGCAAACATGGCAGGTGCTGAGTATGAAGGGAGAAAAGAGCTTAAAGAGATCTCTCCTCGGCAAAGACCCTCTGTCTCCATCCATACGGTCGTGGGGGTACCTGGAGAGGCCTCTCCTGAGTTCAGCGCATGCCAGTAGACCATGACAGAGCCATCAGCCTCATACATCTGGAAGATGTGAGGAGAAAGGGCTGGTGAATCGCTTTGCTGAGCTAGGTGCAGCGTGTATTGTGGACCTACACCAGCCCGCACCCATTTGATCCTCAAAACTGGGAGTAGATGCTATTTTTAACCCCCGTTTTATAGGTAGACTCTGAAGCACATGACTTACCAATGAGCACACAGCTCGTGGTTGGTAAATGGGTAGGTAGTGCAGGGTGGTGGTATTTGAGACAAAGATATTGGAAAAGATGAAACAAAGGTGGGGGTGGGGGTGGGGGTAGGGGGTGGGGGGTGGGGACTGGGCTAAGGAGGTGAAAAGTTTGGAACTGTTTGAGACAAATGGAGAAGGGCATTGGAAGAGAATTGAGAAGAGTGGGGGGTGGGGTAGGAAGGCCCTTTTCTTACCTGTATTCCCTTAAATGAGGTAAGTACCACCAATACCCGGAAGGGGAGGGTGCACCAGTGGACCTGGAGGGAGGTGGGTCAGAGCAAGGAAAAGCGGTCAGAGCAGGGGTCCTGCTCCAGGGTCATCAGAGGAGTGGAGATTCTGGACTCTAAGAGAGAAGGAATAGGGGTGTAGGGCAGGTTCAGAAACACTACCCCCCAACTCCGTATGCCTCACCTGGGTGATAAAGGCAGGGCTCACTCCAGCGCCCTGCTTGGCAAAGAGCTGGCGCTGAGCCAAGGGCACACCCTCGGGGGCGGCGCTGAGAAGCTGGGCGCTGGCTCCACGGACCACCCCAAAGTGCGTGAGGTTGCGGGCAGGCAGCGGCAGCACACTGAGGTTGTTGCACAGAGAGGCGGCCGAGCCTCGAAGTGGGATGGAGCTCTCGCGGCGGAACATCCTGGGGAACGGACGCTCAAGTCACGGGGCGCACGCGAACAGAGGGCAGCGGCGATTCCTGCGGGAGGCGCTGGGGGAACTCTGGGGACTGAGATACTGCGTGGAGCAGGGCCCCGGGGTCGGTGATGGGGAGAGGTTCAGGGCGAGAGGCAGGTCCTGGGGAGCGGGAGAGGGGTCCCAGGGTCGAGTCCCCCGGGGAAGCTTGCCGCAGGGATGGTGGTGGCACGGGAGGCGGTGGCCCCAAGCTCCCGTGCCAGGAAGGCGGGACGAGGCAGCGGGGTCCCCGTCCTTCCTCCCTCGGGTGGCTTCCTGCAGCATCCCCACCCTCCCCCACCCCTAGCCTTCAACCTGGACTCTGGCCAGTAGTCACACCCTGGGTCCCAGGCCCGCTTGCCTGACTCCAGAAGCGTTCCGTCACTCCGAATCAGCCGCCACCATAGAGACGACGCACGCTTGCACGGCCCGGGGGGCGGGGCCAGCGGCCCGAACCGCAGAGCGCCGCCCAGTTGCCTGGGCAACCGTGGGCGGAGCCAGCGGTCCGCGCAAGGCGCATTGGCCGTTGCCCGGGCGACCGGTAGTCGGTGGCAGCTGGGCCGGGAGGCAGATGCTGTGAGATTCCGGGCCCGGAGACACCGAGGCAGCGATGGCCCACGAAGGCTCGGTGAGCTTCAGCAAGACGAGGTGCCCTAGAGTCTTGGTCGGCCATTAAGGTCGGTGCCCGGAACCGCGGGGCAGCTGCACGCTCCGCGGCGCCCCGACGTGCGCGGGCCCACTGCGCCGACCCTAAGCCGTGGGCGCTCTGTCGTAGTCTCCGGCTGCTTCCCGGGAGCCAAGCGTGGAATTCCCGGGTCCCCTCAGCTCCCCGCCGCTGTGTTCTCGCACGGATCCGCTTGTCTCGGAATTGTCCCGAGTGGCCACCTGCCTACTTCTTACCTTAGCTTCTTTCGTTCAAGATTATCAAGGAAGTCACGCTGGGCAGAACATCTACACTTGCACCTTACCCACCCACCTACACCCACCCTTGGTTCTGTCAAGGCCCCGAGGGAAAGGGTGGAAGGGTGGTATAGAGCTGGAGAAAAGAAGTGAATTTGGAAACAAACTAATGCACGACGCCATAGGAGCCTTGGGGCGCAGGGGGTTACATGTTGGCCTGCTGACCACATGGGTCAGCAGTTCAAAACTACGAGTCACTCTGCGAGAGGAAGATGAGGCTTTCTGCTCACTCGAGGAAACCCACAGGGCCAGTTGTACCCTGCCCTACAGTGTCACTGTGAGCTGGAATAGACTTGATAGCAGTGAGGCGGGTTCGTTTTGTGGGTGCATGTAATATGTCCATTAGAGGTACCTATTTAAATGGATCGTCCAGAACCGGTCAGGAATCTGCAACTGATAAAGAATGTATTTTAAAACTGTCAGGAAGAAGACAACAATTGTGAAGCCCTGCTCAGAAGTTATGGTTTAGAAGCCAAAACACTTTGAAGAGTGAAGATTTGAAGTGCCCTTGTGCAAAATTTGCACGGCCCCCCTGGTCAGGTCAGGTTGAAGGACATGCCTGAGGAGAGGTCTCAGGAACTGACCAACCCTGCTAGCTCTGCTCTGACCAAGCCTGGCCTGGGCTGCCTGCCACGCCCTGGGCTTGCTGCTAGGGCGATTCTCACCAGGGGAGAGGAGGCAGTCTGCAAGTGGGAAATTCACTTTCAGGGATTTTTGAGTTCAGTGTAAGATTTAGGGAACCCCACCTTTGGAGGAGAGTGCATTTGTGCAACATTCAGTGTGAGGAGGGAGGAAGGGGTAAAGGTTTGTGAATGTCACCCTCAGAAGTACATTTTGGAAGGAACTGGGTTCAGAGGGATTGTTATGGAGACGCCCAGGAAATCCTAAGTCTTTGGAATCAATGAGATTTGGGGATGAACCTTTTCAATTTCAGGTGGAGTTTCCTTGAGAATTAGAATAAAATCCAGTGTAAAAATAAAAGTTGCTATCCAGTCCCTTCCAACCCAGTCACCCCTCCCCCCGCTTCCCACCCCCTCTGCCTGCCCCCCAGTGTTTCAGAAAACTTGGCCCCTTTCTTCCAGGTCCTTCTGAGTGATTCAAATCACCAACAGTTAATGATTGATAACCATTTGAACCACTGGGGACTTCTGAAATAGAGGAAAGCCTAGCTATATCTGCTGTTATTGTGTCCATATTTCCTTTTGAGCACATCTTGATTGACACGTTCGAGATCAACTTCTATATGTGATTTATAGCTTGCCTCCTTCATTTAACATTACAGCATAGCAAATTTCCAGTACCAGTACACATTTGCCCTAAAAAGCATCTTTAATCACTGGACAACAGGCTGCTATATACATCTGCTACAATTAACCGTTGATTCTGCTGCTTTGGGTTAGACCAGCGCTTCTCAACCTATGGGTCACCACTCCTCTGGGGGTCGAACGACCCTTTCACAGGGGTCACCTGATTCATAACAGTAGCAAAATTACAGTGATGAAGTAGCAATCAAAATAATTTTATGGTTGGGTCACCACACACGAGGAACTGTATGAAAGGGTCATGGCATTAGGAAGGTTGAGAACCACTGGGTTAGACAAAGGTTTTCAATATTTTGCTATTATAAACAGCACTATAGGGAATGCCTACAGAACATGTTCTTTGAATCTTCGGAATATGCCTTTGAGTGTATTGATAGAGTTGAAATTGCTGGGTTCCAGGAGTGAAGATATGTTTAATGCTCATGATACCTACTGTTGAGTGATGTTCCAAAAATAGTGTTGCAATTCACATTCCCACCAGCAGGGCGTCAGCGTATTTTATCCACTTTTTGCCACCACTGAAGATTGATTGTTAAGTGAAATAACTTTTCTGTACTAAAAATTGGAATATCAAATTTGCCTTTAAGATGAAGGTTGGGCATCTTTTGGAGTGCTTATTTGCCATCTACAGTGTCTCGTGAACTATGGTGGCTTTTGCTTGTTTATGCGTTTGAACTTTATTTTCTTTCTGTGGCCTTCTGTATTTGGGAATATTTATCTCTCCTCCCCTCCCTTTTTTTGCAAAGATTTTTCCATATTTGGGAAGCAGGATAAAGTCAAGCTGTGCAGTCCGGCCGCCCTGCATGCTCTGCTGCTATCTTCCAGTTGTGTGATCCTGGGAAAATGGCTGAAAAATGGAGATGGGAAGAGTATATAGTCTGAAAAATATCGTCATTGAGCCTGCATGTGACTGGCATGTCTTAAATACCGGTGAATTGTAACTACTAATGTTAGCTTCCACCACTTGCCTGTCAGTTTATCTTACTGTGGTGGCTTGTTGCTATGATACTGGAAGCTATGTCATGGGTATTTCAGATAGCAGCAGGGTCACTCAAGGTGAAGAGGTTTTCGTGGAGCTTCCAGACTGAGAAAAGACTACGAGGAAGGAATAGACTGTCTGCTTCTGAGGAGTTAGCACTGATCACCCTATGAACAGCAGCAGAACACCATCAGATGTACTGAAAATCTCATGAGTAGCAGGAGCATGTTGTTAGACGTGGGGCCAGAAGATGAGCCCAGCAGGTTGGATGGAGGAATCTGCTGCACATGACCTCTTTGGAGAGCAAGGGTATCGCTTTGAGGATATCACTTTGTGCCTCACTCAAGCCAAGGTATTTCCAACGGCCTCATCTGCATGCGGAAGTGGTACACTGAATAAGGAAGACCAAAGAAGAATGAATGCCTTTGAGATACCATGCTGGCAAAGAATATTGGAAATACCATGGTCTGCCAGAAGAACACACAAATCTGTCTTGAAAGACTAGTAGCCAGAATGCTCCTACTCTGTCTTATGGCGTGGTGATGGCTATGAATTGGGACCTATTTGAGATGATGGTTTTTTGTTTGTTTTAATGGTGTTAGGCCACTGGCCTGTCAATTTGTCATTCTTCAGTAGCCCGTGTCTTACTATGATGGTGCAAGTGATAGCACTGGTATTTCAAACATTCCAGGATCACACATGGTTGAGCGGTTTCAGTAGAAATTTTAGTCTAACGCAGACCAAGAAAGACGTGGTAATCTACTTCCAAAAATTCAGCCGATGGAAGCCTTACAGATCACCACAAACCAGTGCTTCAGGTAGTGCTGGGAGGTGCAAACATGCTAGTCATTATGAAGACAGCTCAAGGCAGGCAGGCAACGTCTTGCTCTTTTTTTAAGGAAAGGTCCCCATGAATCCGAGTCCACTTGCAGCCAGTGAACAACAACACAACAACATGCTGTTATTCTCACCCCCATTGAGTCGATTCTGACTCACGGCAACTTTATAGGGTCGAATAGAACTGCCCCTGTGGGTTTCCGAGACTGTAACTCTTTACACAATAGAAAGCCACATTCTTTCTCCTGAGGAGGGGCTAGTGGTTTCAAACAGCTGACCTTGTCCTTAGCAGCCCAACGAATATCCACTAGGCAACCAAGACTCCAAGATGGTGTGATATGTATTTCAGATTTACCAATTACATCTTCTGGAGCAAGTGATGGTTAGCCTGTCCAGTTTGTCTGTGAAATGGGCTGTGACAAAAACTGAATTAGACAGATCAACCCCCTAAAAAGCATTTGTCGCTTAATAGGCTCAGAGTAAGTTGTAGCCTCTTTTTCTTCCCACCAAACGTCTTGGAAAGCTTCCTCCTAGCTGATAGCTGCTTCTCCATCCCTGACTGCTCTGTTCTGTTCCCACAGAGGCAAGAGCGGCAGGCCCGAGACCGTGGGGTGACCCGGTCGAAGGCTGAGAAGGCCCGGCCGCCCACCGTGCCTGTGCCTCAGGTGGATATCGTGCCTGGGCGGCTGAACGAGGCCGAGTGGATGGCGCTGGCAGCTATCGAGGAAGGCGAGGATGTGGTGGGGGACATCTTGGCGGACCTGCTGGCCCGAGTCATGGACTCCGCCTTCAGAGTCTACCTATCCCAGCAGGTGGGTCGGAAGCAGCCCTCCCTTGGGCCTGCCTCTTCCCACCCGGACTTCTCCCGTTCTGTGGGCTGAGGTCTTTTCTCTCCTCTGCAGTGTATTCCGTTCACCATCAGTCAGGCCCGCGAGGCCATGCTGCAGATCATTGAATGGCGCTTTCTGGCCCGGGACGAAGGAGAGTCCGCTGTGGTCAACGAGCCCACGTGGGGCGAGGACGAGGAGCCCTTGGCGTGCACCACAGACGCCTGGGCCCAGGGCTCCGTGCCGGTGCTGCATGCACCCACCGCGGTAGGGCCCGAGGACATCCCCCTAGAAGAAGTAAGTCCAGCCCAGCCCCCGGGCCCTGCCTTTCAGACTCCCCCGGCCCACATCTCATTACCCCACCCACTACCCTACCCAGGAGGGCACGAGCGTGGACCTCAGCTCTGTGAGGTCGTGGATCGGTAAAGGGTCGCAGGAGCTGATGACATCTTGGGAGCTGCCTCAGTCCCCAGAGCCGGGGGTCAGCCTGGAGCCCCAGCCATCCAGGGAGCTGTCTCCGGAGGCAGGGCCCGGGACTCCAGTGGAAGACCAGGAGAAGGGCGGCTCCCTCCCAGCGCCAGAGCAAATGTCGCCCTCCCGCAGTCCCCAGCCTGTCCAAGAGCAGTTCGCAGAGGCCATCTCCTGGGTCTCCCCGGAGGAGACCGAGATGGAGACGGGACTGTCCTCCAGCTCCCTGTTCTCGCTGGAGGACCTCCGTTACTGTCTGGCCCAGCCCGACGACGGGGCAGGGGAACGGGCCAAGCCGCAGAAGGAGGGGGCCCAGCTCGCCTCCGACGAGTGGGGGTCCAGCTTCTCCGAGGAGCCCCCAGCCCAGCTCAGCGGCAAAGCATCAGTCCCACAGCCACCCAAGCCCGGGCACGAGGAAGGGAGTTCGCTTAGCTATGCTGGCCACCGCCCCGAGCGCGCGGCGTGCCTGGACCCCGGGCGGTTGCCGCGCCCCTGGGTACGCCCCCTGGTACAAGTCCTGCCCCCAGACTCCCAGCTGCGCCCTTTGGAAACTTACCGGGGGCGCCCGCGCAAGCGCCGGCCGCAGGGCGCACAGAGGAATAGGTCCTTCCCAGCCTGGCGCCCCGTCCCCCTGGCAGCGTTTGGCCCACTCCAGCGGGACATGTCCTTTCAAGACTTGGACCCTGGCCTTGGCCTCCACTCGCCCACTTCAGATTCACCCTTACCGCCTTCTGGGTCGAAGCTGCACTTCCTCGCCTCAGGGTTCCCCTTCCGCGCCACACACCCCACACTCTCCACCGTGGCCCAGAGTTCCAGCCCTAAGCTGTGGCCCAGTGCCCAGTGGCCCAGAGGCTGCGAGGGCGAGGCCGAGCTGCTGGGGGAGCTGTGGGCCGGCCGCACCCACGTGCTGCCAAGGGGCTCTGACGCCGCGGACCCAAAGCAGCAGGACTCTGACAGGTGGCCTCATCCCAAGATGCTCAAGGCCACCTCCCAGGTGATGTGGAAACCCGTGATGCAGCCCGAAGCGCTGACACTGTCCCCTGGGGTGAGCCTGTGGGACCCGAGCACTCAGACGCTGCTCAGGTCCGGGGAACCCCGGCAGTATTCGGAAGAGCCGTTCTTGCCCACCACGCAGCAACGCCCCATCCAGCCGTGCCCTCCTCAACCCGAGGTGACTGTGGCCGAGCTCGCGAACACTGCGCCTCGAGTGTGGTCGCTCTCTTCCAAGCATTTGCCCCATCCTTGGCCCTGAGCTGCGGGCACTGTGAGCCTGCCTCCCCTCTGCCAACCTGCCAACAATAAACACCCCGGCTGCTGCTCGATGCCTGTCGATTTCTTCCAAGGTGTGGCTCACTGAACCCCAAAGGGGTCAGTTGCCCCGTTGCCCTAAGAAAAGTTAGAACCCTGCTTTCAGCGCACAGCCCCTATGACCACCCTTAGGGGGGTGGGGGTTGTGATGGTGGCGTGTGTGTGTGTGTGTGTGTGTGTGTGTGTGTGTGTGTGTGTGGAGGGGAATGGGGGTGGAGGTGGGGAGGGGCAATGAGCTAAAGAAGGCACAGAGGGGCTGGGAGAACTTGGGGAATTTCTGTTTGCTAGACAAAGGAGAGATAGCCTTGCTTGCGCACAGCGATTCAAGACAGGAGGATCCTGTTGTTGTTGTTGTTGTTGTTGTTGTTGTTGTTGTTTGCTCCATAGACTCCCAAGGCCCTGACATCCCCTAGAACTCTGCTAATTGACTTTGGAGTGTGACTCCAAGTGGAGCTTTGGGAGCCGGATTAGCACTTCCCTAGTATGGCCCGTAGGGGGAGCGAGCGATTTACATTTGACAGCTATCCCAGAGGTTGGCGACGGGAAACGCCCCGTGGCCCCTGGGAAGGAAAGGTTGGCGACCCTCTTCCATTAATGTACAAAACCAACCAAACAAACCCACTGCTACGGACCCGATGCGGTCTCCTGGTGACCCTATAGAACAGGATAAAACTGCCTCTGTGGGGTTTGGAAGACTGTAACTGCTTTTGGGGTTTTGTTCTTTAAAAACAGTTTTATGAGCACTTCATCCACATGTCATAGGATTCAATCCTATCAAAAAGAGTTGTCCAATGGTCACCATATTCAATTCCAGGACATTTTCTTCTTCCTTGTAGTCCTTGATATTCATGTAATTTTTTTTTTCCTAATTGTGGCAACAGCAACAACAAAAACCCTGACACAACAGCACATTCTCCCATTTCACAACTTCTCCTTGTAACTGCTGGAGAGAGGGTAGAAAATCTAGCCTTTCCTCCTACGCAGCAGCTGGTCTCTGGTTGGGTTGACCTTACCCACTGTGCTCTGTGGAGAACAGTGCCGAGAAAACCCCAGGGTCACCACGCATTGGGTCTCCTTGAGTTAGAATTCCCAGAAAGGCAACAAACAAAGGCAACAAGAAGGTATGGGGAAACATTTGTTTTTTTCAGACAAACATTGACTCAGAGTTGTGACTAGGGTGAGGCAATAGCAAAATTTAAGGAGGCACTCCTGCTCGGTTCTAAGAAACATGCTTGAGTAAACTCGTCTATCTGTGCCTCCTTAAATTTTGTACCTTAGGTACCTCACGTGTCTCATTCTTGGTTCCAACCAACTTTGACAGCCCTCCTTCCCTTTTGCCTCCTCTATTTTTGAAGTCGGACTGCAGTGCTTCATTGGCAGGCTTGCAGCTGCAGCGTCAACTATGTTTCTGTGGGCTTCACGCAGCATCCTGGCCTGGTGGGCTCTCTCTGTCATCCTCATTTTGATCCTTGTGCTCGGATTGTGCATAAGGCTCTGGCAGAGGTCTTGTCCCTGGGACCTCCAGCTCTGCTCCACAAACTTGGCTGGGAAGACAGCAGTGGTGACCGGGGCCAATAGTGGTGAGTGCTTCACCCCCGACAGTTCTAACTGGGTGGAGAGAGGGACCATCACCATCTCTCAGGGAGCCTTGTCCCCCCTACCTTTGTTCCACTGCCTCTTCTCTCTTCTCCTCTCTGCTCCTCGCCCCTCTCCTCCTCTCCACATCTGCCCTCTCACAGGTCAGAATGGTGTGATGGAGACAGCTGAGCCTTTCCAACTTCACAAGCAGGGAGCAGGATCAACTGCACAAGGCTGAGTCCTATGAGGCAGGGGTCAGACATGCCCCCACCCTACCGTCTTTTATAGTATCCTGACACCTACTGCCCCCACCCCACCCCGAACTCTCTACTTGTCTTTCTGTTGGATTTGCTCCCTGAATCAGTGACAACACAGGATTCGCCAACAGTATTCATGCTCACGGAGTTTATTAAGGAAGTAACAGGTTACAATTCAGGATCAGAAATGACCCAGGGTACAGTTCAGGACAGATTCTTCTCAGCAGTCCTGCAGGCACACCAATCTCTTGCAGGCATTTATCTTCTCAGCCCTGCAGCCAGGGCTTTGCTTTGGGCAAGTATTTAGCTTGCTTTAGCCCTGCTAATCAGTGCTCAGTACCCTTCTCCACACTGCTCTACCATTTCTCACTCCATGGGTCCAGAAGCTCATTGCTCTGTCTCCTCCTAATCTCCCAGTTCTGCTGCCACCACCACTTGCCATTTCTCCGGTTTCACAGCACCATCTCCTGGGACAAGAAGGCTCCTGTGCAGGGGCTTTGGGTCTAAATGACCTGCCTTTTCTTTCTTGGTGACGGTGAGATCTCCTTTCCACTTCTGGGATGGCTCTTTTTAAATTGAGTGGATGGCAAAGACCAATGCCCACCTTCAAACAAACAAACAAACAAAACCAGAAAAACTCACTGCCTTTGAGTCGATGAGTCCCTGCATGAGTCAGACCATAGCAACCCTGGAGGGGTTATCTCCTGACTTTCAGAGATGGTAACTCCTTACTGGAATCGAAAGGTCATCTTGCTCCCTCGAAGGGGCTGGTGATTTTGAACTGCTGACCTTGAGGTAGCAGCCCAGCAGGTAAACACTGCTCTACCGGGGCTCCCCACGTTAGTGTTCTATAGGAGCCCTGGTGGTGTAGTGAATTCCGTGTTGTGCTGCTAACCTCTAGGTCAGCAGTTTGAAAACAGCCTCTCCCAGGGCGTGGAAACCCACAGAGGTAGTTCTACTCTGTCCTATAGGGTCTCTATGAATCAAATTGACACAATGGCAGTGTCTTTCTGTTTTTGTTTTTGTTTTTAAATCCAGCCATTTGGCAGGCATTACAAAGGGGAACATAATGTAATTGATTGCACCACCTACAGGTATTGGGAAGTTTGTGTCCCAAGAGCTGGCTTGTCGTGGGGCCCGAGTGATCCTTGTCTGCCGGAACCGAGAGCAAGGAGAGCAAGTCCTAGCTGAGATCCAGGCAGCATCAGGCAACAACCACCTGCTGCTTGGCCTGGCGGACCTCAGCTCCCTGGCTTCCATTCGGAGTTTCGTCCGGTGGCTTCTGCAGGAAGTGTCCGAGATACACCTGCTGATAAACAATGCTGGGGTCTGTGGTATGTATCTGGGCTTACTCTTCAAACACATTTCACAAGCTACAGTTTCCCCTCAGGGAAAATAGCTGTCCCTGTAGCCTAACACATGCATTCCACTGAAATGCTCTCCAGGGGCCCTGTGACACAGTGGTTCCACTCTGGATTGTTAAGGGAAAGGTCAGCGGTTTGGAACTAGCTGCTGCTCAGGGGGGAAAAAGAGCCCTCTATCCCATCAAGGATTACAGTCGCAGATAAAATGCAACACCTTATTTGCTCCCCCTTTTAATCCATTTCAAAGTTGTATCAGTTTAAAAAAAAAAGGCAAAGGGGAAATTTATATGGCTTAAGTGTGTGGTGAATTTTCTCTGAACAGAGACCAGAGAGGATGTGAGTAGCCTTGCTGTCATGCAGAGTGCATTGGGGAGTGGATGGTGGCACATGCGGCGAGGTTAAAATTGAACAGTTCATCGTTTGACCCATTTTAAAGTTGTTCTAATTTTTAATATTTTCTGCCGTGTTAGTCTGGGTACTTTAGAGAAACAAATCCACAGAAACTCATGCATAAGAGAGCGTTTTATATAAAGAGTAAGTGCACATCAAGAAAACATCCCAACCCAGTGCTGCCCAAGTCCACAAGTCCAACATTAATTAGCTCATATGTCCGGCACGGATCCACAAAGTCCTCCCCCAGCTTACCAAGCACACACTATGATGCCAACTGCAGGAGGAAAGCCGAATCAGTGAGCATGTCGGCATCACAGAGCTGGCAGGGGTCTCCACAAGGCTGCTCCAGCACCCAGGGCTGCATCGGGGTAGGTCCATTGGCTTCTCCTCAGGGATGTCTTGCAGGAAGTGAGCTTTTCCAGTGGAAGCAGGGAACTGGATAAGGTAGCTGCACCCTGATCTGACCATCAGATGCAAGAAACCCGAGAACTAGAAAGGCGAGGTTCACTGAGCCATTTATCCCTCCGCCCTTCCATTAACCCTACATGTGTTTATCAGCCAGGTTGGCACAATAAACTACCAATCCACTCCTTGCCAACTTGGCACATGTACGTAAATAATTCTTTAGCCTTACAATTGTAATTAAGTAACACCTACATCTTAATCCTATAATCCTGTGTATATGTTCCCCTACCTATGAAAGTTTGTAAGCCAACCACTTCATGCCTTTATTCCCCAAATTTTGGATATCCAATTTCTATACTGCCCACTTAAAACAACCCTGTGCTCTGAGGAGACAATCATGTTTTTTGACATGAAGAATCTTCATTCCTATTGGTACATTGTGAAATCCTTATCCATAAGCAAAGTCAAATCTGGATAGACCATCCATAAATTTAGCAACAATATGCACCAGTTCACAGGCTCAAAAATCTCCATCAGGTCAGGTTCTGGTCAGCTAAATGTGGGCTGCTTCCCTCAGCCTCCACAGGGTGCCCATTGGACGCCTTGCCTTTAGACTATGGGCTCTCACCAATACTCAACAAGCCTAGCCCCCTTGTGCTAGGTCATTAACTTTATACCAGTTAACCCACACTCATCTCCCCGCCCCCCTGTAAACCAAGTCCACAGGTGTCAGTGGCCAAACTCAACCATCTCTTTATTGCTGCATTTCTCCCACTTCCACTCAACAAGTACCTCCAGATGGTCACCTAGCAAGCATTTCAGCCTGCTCACAGGCTCCCTTTATCATTCAGTCTTAGGGAGGAGTTCTTTTCATGATTCCAGATTTTTTCCAGATTTTGACAAAGACTACTGGTTCCTGAGTACTCCAAAGCACTAGGTGGGGCATATCTTTTCAAAGCTTTCTTTGCAGGCATGTCCTAAACTCATCTAAAGATCAAATTTTAATGGCTGAAAGCAAGTGGGCTTACAAACTTTCAATTTTCATACTTCCCATATTTTCCCCAGAAAACAACCAAGTAAACAGTGCGGCTTTATCTGACCTCTGGCTAGACGAAGAAGAAAAGCTACCATGAAGGAGAGGTCAAACAAACATCTACTCTCCATCTTATGATTTGTTTCTCCAGTACCCCACTCCCAAGGTACCATAATGTGTGAGTCTGGGTACTTTAGCGAAACAAATCCACAGAAACTCATATGTATTAGAGAGAGTTTTATATAAAGGGTAAGTGCACATCAAGAAAACATCCCAACCCACTGCTGCCCAAGTCCACAAGTCCAACATTAGCCCATATGTCTGACACCAATCCACAAAGTCCTCCTCCATCTCACAAAACACACATAATGATGTCAACTGCAGGAGGAAAGCCAAATCAGTGAATGTGTAAGCGTCTCAGTGCTGGCAGGAGTCTCCACAAGGCTGCTCCAGCACCCAGGGCTGCATTGGGGTAAGTCCATGTGGCTTCTCCTCAGGGATGTCTTGCAAGAAGTGAACGTTGCCAGCGGGAGCAGGGAACTGGCTAAGGAAGCTGTACCCTGGTCCAACCATCACAAATCAAGAGACCTGAGAACTAGAAAGGCGAGGCTCACTGAGCCATTTATCCCTGCACCCTTCAATTAACCCCACATGTGTTTATCAGCTAGGTTGGCACAATAAACTACCTCAAGCCACCCCTTGCCAACTTGGCACGTGTACATAATTCGTTAGCCTCACAATTGCAATTAAGTAACACCTACATCTTAATCCTATAAAAACAAACATGTATTCTCCATCTTATCCACATAGGGATAATTGGCTTGGTGAGCCTCGCCTTTCTAGTTCTTAGGTCTCTTGCTTTGTGATGGTCGGACCAGGGTGAAGCTGCCTTAGCCAGTTCCCTGCTTCAGCTGGCAAGGCTCACTTCCTGTAAGACATCCCCAAGGAGAAGCCACATGGATTTACCCTGATGCAGCCGTGGGTGCTGGAGCAGCCATGTGGAGACCCCTGCCAGCACTAAGATGCTTACACATTCACTGATTCTGCTTTCCTCCTGCAATCAGCAGCATTGTGTCTGTTTTGTGACATGGAAGAGGACTTTGTGAATTGGTGTTGGATTTATGTTGGACTTGCGGGCTTGGGCAGCACTGGGTTGGGATGTTTTCTTGATGTGCACTTAACCTGTATATAAAACTCTCTTATACATGAGTTCCTGTGGATTTGTTTCTCTAAAGTACCCAGATTCACACATCTGCTTCCTTTTCAACTGAGTTTTTCCTCTATTTTATTTGATTACAAATAGGGTTTTTGTTTGTTTGTTTGATTTTGTATGTCTTTTCTGTATATGAAATCCAGGATAGGCAACTCTGTAGACACCCTAACTAGATCAGTGGTTTCTTGGGGCATGGCAGGGTGGTTGCAGGGAAATGGGGAGCTAATAACAAGGAGTGTGTATTAGGCCAGATTGACTAGAGAAACAAATCCCAGGATCCTCACAAATGGATAAGAAAGAGCTTTATATCAAGTCCATCAGTGGCTCCAATGGTGGTGGTAACTTCTCAGGACTCTTACAGTTCTTAGAACAATCCATACATCAATTGTATCAAGCCTCTTTGTACATTTGTTGCCATCATTCTTTTCTAGACATTTGCTTTCCATTGAGCCCTTGGTATCCGCTCCTCTTTTTTCCATCCTTATCCCTCTCCCACCTTCGTGACCCCTTGATAAATTATAAATTATTATTTTCATGTTTTACACTAACTGCTGTCTTCCTCCCCACATGGTTTCTGTTGTTTGTCTGTGTGTGTGTGTGTGTGTGTGTGTGTGTGTGTGTGTGTGGTTATGTGTTGATCATTGGGATCGGTTCCCCCTTCCTGCCCTCCTTTCTCCCCCTTCTCCCTACTCTCCTGGTATCACTACTCCCATTCCTGTTCCCGAGCACGCCTACACTTTCATAAATCTTCAAGTTGACGTGAGATTATGCAACACAGAGTACAAGAAAGCAGAAAATGTTCTAAACTTGATGGTGGTAATGATTGTACAAATAAGTCTTCTTGATAGGATTGAACTATTGAATTGTATGATATGTGGATTGTGTCCCAATAAAACTATTTTTGAAAAAGAGTTACAGTCTCAGAAACCCCACAGGAACAGTTCTGGCCTGTCCTATAAGGTCGCTATGATTTGGAATCAATTCAACGGCAGTGAGTGAATGAATGCTCTAATTCATAACTCCCCTAAAAAGCCTATTTTGAGTGGTAGCCCCAAATGTCATTGCCCCTATACATCTGCATGTGCTTATGCTTAGAGTATTTCTACTGAACTCCAGTACATTCATCCAGATCTGGTCCTCCTGGGAGCAGGTCCTCCATCATCCTCCACTTGTGCTGTTGTTTCCTCCCAGGTATCCCTGAGAAGACACTTACTCCAGAGGGCCTGGATGTCACCTTTGCCACCAACTATGTAGGTCCTTTTCTGCTCACCAATCTACTTCGAGGTAAGGAAGGAGGGGTGCCATCTTTTGTTCCTGGGTCACCCTTTGTACCTCATACTTTTAATCTCTCCCTTGGCTACCTCCTTCCCACTAGTGTCCAGCTTTTTGGTGGTAACCTCGTTGAATGGTGACCCAGCACATTTTTCTCATAGGTTGAGATACCACCTGGCGTAAGTCAGGGCTGGGAGGCCAGTTAATAGAATCACTGCATGACTTTAAGGCAAATTCATGGGTAACTGCGTGGCAAAGATCTGCATGAACCTGATTCTCACCTGATGGATTCAGGCTTTACCGTCCCATATTTCTTTTTAAATCATTTTATTGGTGGCTCTTACAGATATTATAACAATCTATCATTCAATTGGTTCAAGCATAATTGTATAATTTCTGCCACCATCAGTTTCAAAACCTTTTCTTTCTTTTTGATATCTTTGTTATCAGCTCCTCTTTATCCCCTCCCTCCCCACCCTCCCCCCAGCAACCGTTATTATTATTTATGTATTATTATTTGCAATATCTTAAACCATCCAATGTATCCGTTCACCTACAATTCTGTTATTTATTCCCCTTGAGTGGGGTTATGCAGTCATCATTGCTATCAGTTCCCCCTCCCCCCCTCATCCTGTACCCTTAGGGAATCCTTACTCCCATACTGTTTCTGAAGGGTTTATCTATCTTGGCTTTCATGCCTCAAATGCTCTTAATTATACAAATGAACCTACACAGGTCTAACAAGATCAATGAGGTAAAACAAAGACCATAATAGTAAGGAGAGGGAATATTAAAGAACTAGAGGATAGGTATGTGTTTCATCACTGCTATACTGCACCCTGGATATGTCATCCCTTCCATGTGGCTCTTCTGTGAGGTTCTGTCCAATTATCTTACAGGTGGGTTTGGGGTCTCCCCTTTGTCCATGATCCTTCGTGTCAATTTGATTGCTTGTTTTTAAACTTCTGATACCTATCCCTATCGACACCTCATGATCACACAGGTTGGTGTGCTTCCTCCATGTGGGTTTTATTGTTTCCCTGCTAGATGGCTGCTTGTTTATCTTCAAGCCTTTAAGACCCCAAGCACTATATCTTTAAAAAAAAATCATTTTATTAGGGGTACATACAACTCTTATCACAATCCATACATACATCAATTGTGTAAAGCACATTTGTACATTCATTGCCCTTATCATTCTCAAAACATTTGCTCTCCACGTAAGCCCCTGGCATCAGCTCCTCATATTTCCCCCTCCCTCCCCACTCCCCACTCCCTCATGAACCCTTGATAATTTATAAATTATTATTTTGTCATATCTTACACTGTCCGGCATCTTCCTTCACCCACTTTTCTGTTGTCCGTCCCCCAGGGAGGAGGTTATGTGTAGATTCTTGTAATCGGTTACCCCTCTCCACCCCACCCTACCCCCACCCTCCTGGTATCACCACTCTCGGCACTGGTCCTGAAGGGATCATCCAACCTGGATGCCCTGTGTTTCCAGTTCCTATCTGTACCAGTGTACATCCTCTGGTCTAGCCAGATTTGTAAGGTAGAATTGGGATCATGATAGTGGAGGGGGGTAGGAAGCATTTAGTAACTAGAGGAAAGTTGTATGTTTCATCATTGCTACACTGCACCCTGACTGGCTCATCTCCTCCCCGAGACCCTTCTGTAAGGGGATGTCCGGTTACCTACAGATGGACTTTGGGTCTCCACTGTGCACTCCCCCTCATTCACAATGATATGATTTTTTGTTCTCATGATGCCTGATAGCTAATCCCTTCAACACCTTGTGATCACACAGGCTGATATGCTTCTTCCATGTGGGCTTTGTTGCTTCTGAGCTAGATGGCTGCTTGTTTACCTTCAAGCCTTTAAGACCTCAGACGCTATATCTTTTAATAGCCATGTGTTAGACAGGGTTCTCTGGAGAGATAAAACCAAATTGCTGATAATTTAATATATTTATTTATAAAGATAATTAGATATATAACACAAGAAATGAACTGTTAAATCATATACAGATAGAAATATAATACAAGAAATGAACAGTTAAATTATAAAGCAGTACAAATGGCTCAGTGCAACTCACTCCCGTGAGAGAGGGTTATGAGACACTAGCAGTCTTTCAAGTCGAATCTGCTGGTAGGTTTTCCTCTATATATAGAGAGAGCTAGGCTATTTTAGCACAGCAGCCAATCACAAGGCAGGTCACCAACTGTCAGCCAGGTCACCAACCACCAGTCCTCAACTCCAGAGATGTCTTAAAGGGACCTCAACTTACAGCAACACAGTTCACAGGCTAGGCGTCCCACAGGTAGTGTAGCCTGTAAATTGAGGCACAGAACAAGCAAGGCAGCCGCACACTGATCAAAGAGCGAGAAACAAGAAAGGCGAGGGTCACCGAGCCATTTATCTCTCCGCCCTTCAGTTAATCCCACTTGTGTTTGTCGGCCAGGCTGGCACAATAAGCTATCTCAGCCAGGTACCATCAGCTTTCTTCCCACATCTGCTTATGCACCCATTTTGTCTTCTGTGATTGTGTTGGGAAAGTGAGTATCATATATTGCCACATTATTAGAACAAATGGCTTTTGTACTGAGGTAAGATTTAAGTAGAGGCCCCAAGCTCATATGCTTCTTTGTTGTATTTACATATATATATACTAACACACACATAGACAATACACCTATCTTTATATATTTACATATACACATATCTATATTTATACCTATACCTTCCCACATTTCTAAGGTTCTTGTCCCAAGTCACTTCCCTGGCACTTTTGGTCTCTGACCTTAACCACATAGAATTAGGTAAGACTTTAATAGTAGCCACCTGAGCTAGGTTAAGCATCCCAGCCACCTGGCTTCAGGTCAGTGGGTACCATCTTTGGCTCAGGAATTTGTACAACTCCCTCCTCTTCAGCCCTGTTAGTTCTCTTCCCGCACTACACCCCCATCCCATTCTAGCTCCTCGGAGCTGTGTCACTGGGTTGGAAGGATTCTGTCCTTCAGATCATCAGCACAACAGGCGGATGCCGACCTATGAAGCAGGAGACCATAATGGTGTGCCTCTTCTGGATGCGTTCCTTCTCTTTGTCCTGTTGAAGACTCAAGAAGGGATCTTCATAACATATACTTGAATTTGGGTTTGCCATCAAAGAATATGGCAGCGTCTGACAGGACCTAAAGTTGTCCTTTCTGGCAGGCTTTCTGGGGGTGGAGGATTAGCACCAGAGAAAGGGGTGTTTAAGACCACCACATTTCAGACACCATAAGGAACCTGTGAAGTAAGTGCTCTTAGATTTTGAACACTCGTGTCAGGGCTTTCTGAGGGTTTTTGTTGGTTTGTTTTATCAAGTCTTTGTGTTGTTGTTTTTTCATTTGTGAACCGTTAAGGCTTTCTCTGCAGGCAAAAGTAGAAATGCCTTTGATGATCTCATCAAGCTTCCAGAGCAATAGCAAGTAAAGTTCTAAAACACTAAAATTAGTTTCAAGCTTCCAGAAGCAATAGCAAATAAAGTTCTAAAACACTAAAATTAGTTTCCCGCCCTCCCCCTTTCCCTTATCAGGACACTGATTTGGGGGTTGTTCCCCAAACTGAATCTGCCAGAACTTATTTTGAATGGTAGTGATTATTTGGAGGAAACAGGCTTTCATTCGTGCCCTTTCTTTCCCCTGGAAAACTTGTTTCATGGGGAGAAGTTTGTTTTCTGCTTTGGGTTACAGGTGCTTGGTCAGCCCTCTGACTGACCTTTTAGTCAGTGTTCCGGTTCTGTATGCCGAGGTTTTTTGACCCAGAGTAAATCTAGATACTAGTGCTCTGCTTCAACCTATAATGGGTATAATTCTAGTTTCAAAGAGTTTATGTGCAAGTTGGTGAGGGGAACTACACGAAATCTCAGTCTTTTGACTAAGAAATCTGATAAACCAAACGTACGGCTTCACTGTGCTAATGGTTGTAATTAAACTGTCACCCTCTTGTGCACCTTAAGATTGGATCTTGAAAGGAGATCTGCTTGAACCAGTGTTTTGTTGAGACAGAATGGTTCCTTCAATATGATATTGCCTAATTTGATCTTATACAAGGTGAGTGTAGAAGACACTCTTACTATGGTGATTAAAGAATTTCTATGTAAATTCGTGATAAGAGGAGGGAATGAGAAGGTCATTCACAACTTTTGAAGGGTGAACTTGGGAAGGGCATTTCACATGTTTTCTTCCTAATCATATTTTTAACTGATTTTTTTTTTTTTTTGCTTTTGCTTTTGGTGATCCAGCCTTTATGCATTAGGCTGCCTGGATTTCAGATTTGCGTTAGGCTGCCTGGATTTTAGATTTATCTTTGCACAGTGTCATAGCAAATGATTTGTCTTTATCTTTGTCATGTTTAACACTTAATAAAGGGTGTCTATAAAATATATCTGAATTTTGAGGGGGTCTCCTTTTCTTCTTTAACAAAGGTTTAGTAAACATGTAGGAGAGGACCAGGGAGCATGACAAAATTTAAGCTGTTAAATTACAAGCTTAAACCTTATCGATTAGTTTATGTTGCATCCTTAGGTTGTTACATATGAGAGTTATTTAATAAGGCATGCTGTCGGGGTCTATCCCACCTGTAGTCTGTCTCTTTATCTTGACAAACTAAGTTTCTACCTTAGTTACAAATTTACAAAGGACTCATAGAATATCAGATCTTGAATTTGGAGCAGTAGGTGTGCCAAAGCCTAAAGATTACAGTGAGGAGCCCTGGTGGCATACTGGGCTACATATTGAGTTGCTAACCACAAGGTTGGTGGTTTGAATGCACCAACTGCTTTGAGGGAGAAAGATGAGGCTGTTTACTCCTATAAAGATTTAGTGGCTCAGAAACCCAAAGTTACTGTTCTACTCTACTCTAAAGGGTAGCTATGAGTTGGAAGGAACTTGATGGCATTGAGATTTTTTGGAAGGTTCTCAGTGAAATTCCTAAATCCATTTTGAGTCTCAACATAAATTTAGCCTCCA